AGCGGTGTAACTTATTGTGGCTTACGCTCAAGCGGTGTTTTGGTCAATCGAGCGGTCTGAGCATATATCAATATGAGAAAAAGGTTTTCTAAGTCACTTTTTCATTTCTCTCTCTCTCTCTCTAAAAACATTCCAAGCCCTAGTTTTTCACTCTCTCTCTAGTTCTTACATTATAGCTCCAAATACTCCTAACCTATTGATTACTTCACCCTAGCCCTTTGGAGAAAAAGGTAAAGCACGTCGAGAGCTTTGTTCTAATTGGAGTTATCGTTTTCAGCTCCGCCGAACTTCAACCCTTGCTCTCTCTTCTCTTCTAATCTTGAGGTAGGGATTTCTTCAACCTTTGGTATGATTTTTACCTTAGTTATTTGCCTATTGCATGAATCTAGTGATTTTGGAATTTTGGGTTAAACCTAGGGTTTGGTTGTGAATTTAAAAATAGGGGTTTTCAAATGAGTTCTTGAGAAAGGTTGTGGGGATGTATTTAGGGTTGAGAGGTGTTAAAATGGTGGATTTCTTTACTTATAATCGATTTTGTAAGTAAATGGAGGGTTTTGTTATAATATTATCGATAATTTGTTTGTGAAAGACAACGGAAAATGATGTTGGATTTTGTAAGAATGGAACATTGTATATGCTGATGATGATGGTGGTGTTAGATATGTAATATCACTTCCATTTTGAAAATGATGAGATTATATCTATTGTTGAAGATTATCTATTGTATAAGAATATCTGTTTTGGGCTATCAGTGGAGGATAACTTTAATTGTTGTAGAAATTGCATGAGGATTAGGTGAATTGAAATTAATGATTCATACACCTTGGATTGAGCATTGTTGCATACTTAAACATTGAAAATGTTTTGTTTCGAAAAAAATGGGTGAACACCTTGGTGAATCTAGTTATGGGGTGTGGCTGTGGTTGTTATATTAGCCTATGTGTCCTTGGTGAAAGTCTAGAAACGTTAGGTGTCAATCCTTCTGGTTAGTACTGGTAAAATGGCTTTAGTAGTATTTGTATAGTATACTAGCATGCACGCTCCTAGAGATTCCTAATGTTTTGTATCCACTGTCCTGTTTTCTGTTATAAAAGGATTATTTTCATGAATTGATATATAATTTGGCATTGCATGGTTTTGAGATGGAAAATGTGAAATGTTTGATAAATGACATGCATATGCATTCATCTTATAACTTCGTTAAGATTCATATATTGTGTTAAAGTATCTTTACTAGGTTTTGGCTTACCCTATGTGGAAAAACAACTTTTAAGTGCTGATAATATGCCTCAATCAAGGACATAGCTTTGGAGGACTTGGAGCCAAGGGCTTTATTTTTGTTATTTGACGTAATTATTTTCGTACAAGACTTGGGTTTTAATTGTATTGAGTTAAACTCATTTTGATGTACCCAAGTATCGACTTGGAAAGATGCAGCCATTAGGGCATATAATTACTTGATTTTGCTTTTATTTTAGTTCATTTATCCATGTCATATGTTATAGATTCAAAATCTAGGATTCATGAATATATAATCGCATTTGTCATTTTTTCTATGATCAAGATTATAAATGGAATATCAAATGTGAGGTTATTGATCATTTGTAAAGAATATTATGAGATGGGCTACTGTATTTATTTTGAGGCATTACAACTTGGTTTCAGAGCTATCGGGTTTAAATACATTGGAATTGTGGGATGTGATTTTTACTATAATGGGTTATCTTGCTAGATGATATTAGAAGTAGACTTAGTATATTGTGTGATAACATGCTTATGTGACTAAATGAGTATGAGATTTAATTTCTAAGATATTGATTGGGTCTACGAGTTTTTAGAGGTCCTGTTAGAAGAGCACTTGATTACTGTTATTTCTAACTAGAACGCTGGCAATGTCACGAGACAGTCAATATCTAGAAAGGAAGTTCGTTCGTGTGTATGTGATTAGGTGCTTATGTGGAGTGAATTATTTGTTGTCCACCGTATTAGGACGTGAGTGAATTATCTTTGGCACATTTATGAATGTGCTAATCTATTGTGTTATCTTTATTAGGATATCAGGACGTGGACGTGGTGGCAGTCGGCGTGGTCGGTCTAGGTGGCAGGAGGTGCTGTTACCGGATGATATTCTAGTGCAAGAGGAATGAGTTAGTCAGGCCAATGTGGCGAAGCTAGCAAGTCAGCAAGCTATGGGTGCCTTGGCCCATGAAATGGCTGGAGCTTTGCGGGAGTCCATGAACATTCTTAGGGCTGAGGATTAAGACCAGGCCTATGTTTGTAACGACCCCACCACTAATAATATTTTACATTTTATTAATTAAAGATATTTGGCTTTTAATTAGCCACTATTCTGATTTAATTTCGGATTTATAAGAATTATGGATTCTGATTCGTATATGATTCTATTAAGGATTTATTTTGCAATTAAAAATTGAACACCCAAATTGCTTAAGGATGTGAAATTGATGAGTAGAATCAATTTAATTTCAAGTATTGGACCATATGGGAGTTTAAATAAATATTCGATTCAGTTTTGTAAAATTGAGATTTGATTAATTGAGTCTGAAGTTTATTAAGTTAATTAAGTTATCAGGATTGAGAATTATGATTGTTATGAATTAAATTTAATTATGAGGTATCCAATTTGAATATGTAATTTTTTGAGAAGAATTTTGAGTTTGATCTGAAATTAAAGGAATTAATGATTTGAGAAACTAAAATTGATGATGCCAATAAGTTTAATTTGATATATTTGGAGCCGTTTAAGAGGTTAATTAAAAATCTAATTTAGATTGGTAAAAATTAAATCTAATTAATTAGGCTTTAATTGAAGTCAAATAGACTAATTAAATTATGTGAGATTTGTAATTAGTTATAATTAATTAAATTATATACTAACCAATATTATTAAGACTAAGTGTTGCTGAATTAAGCTAATCTTAATTATAAATTGAATTGTGAAATCGTCTAGAATTTATGGATGTATGTGGATGTAGGTGTATTGAGAAATTCTCTCAGTATGTGCGCATGTGAGTGTTGTGCTGGAGCTCATAGAAATGTACACGTGTGTGATGTGGTGTCATGAAGTTAGTGTGTGTGTGTATGGCGCTATTTGGGAAGGAGATTTTTTGTTTTTTTTTTTTTTTGTTTTTTTTCACTAAAAGACAAATTGGCTACAAAATCAAAAAAACAAATCCAAATAAAATATCACATCAAACCTCATAATCATTTCACTTTTTCTCTCGCAAACATCACATCCAACCACAAAAAAAATCTAACTATCTTCCCAAACACAAAAAAAAAAATTTCTCCAATAATATCCTCCAACTAAAAAAACTTACAAAAAAAAATCAATTTCCTAAGCAGCCACTATATTGGGCATTGTGCTAACCGTGTATATTATTTTGGTGAGAGACTTTCCAAGTCAAGAAATCAATCTTTGATGTGTATTGAAGTATTGGATGTCTATTCATTACCTTTGGCTAGAGTAAACCGAGAGAGAGAGAGAGAGGGCATCTCATTTTTGCTGAGAGGTGGAAGAGTTCATCAATTCACTCTAAAGAAAAAAAGAAAATAATAAAAGAAAGCTTAAGTGAAAATAAGAAAATTGAGAGAGGACTCAAGAATTCAACAAGTAAAGGTAAATTTCTCGTTTAATTCTTCTTAATAATTCATCTAACACTTGAAATCAAAAAGGATTTAGGTCTAATTTCATGTAATTAAAAAGAATTGGCAAATTGATGAAGAAATTGATCTAGCTTTATGGTTATGGAATAAATTTAGAAATTAAGTATTTTGGATTTGATTTTGGAATATCTTGCAAGAATTTGAGTCTAATTTCCACATGCATGAACAAATTCTACAAGTTTTAGTACTCTAATTGTACATGCATCATGGATTTCTAATAATTGATTTCATGTTTTGATGAAATAAGAACTAAATTTTGGAAAATTATGAGTTTATGAACAATGAGCTTAATTTGTAAATTAAAAGAGTTTTGATGTAAATGATTTAAAATTGATCATGCTTTCTTGATTATTTAAGAGTTTGTATATTTTTAGATAAACCATGTATGAACCCAAGTTTTGAAATTATATTTTGCAAGTTTAATTTATGTTTTAGAATTTATGGGTTTGAAATTGGGTTTGATATGAAGTAATTAAATCTAAATTTGAATAAATCAAGAAGTAAATTATGATTTAAAATTTGACAATCAAGAATTGACTTGATTTTGATTTGAATTTCATATATGCAAATGTTTTCTAAGGATTATACAATTTCAATTGCAAGTTTCGAGCGATCAAGTCGTGGCTCGACCGGTCAAGCAATTTCAGCATATTTTGAAAAATTACATCTTCGTCATATTTTCGGCCTCATATCTTCCCAAGCATTCTTAGGCATAAATTATGACTCATTGAGGATTAATAAGTTAAGAACCAACATAAGTTAATTGATTATGAAGCAAAGTAAGAAATCAGTTGTGGGTAAGTGGTTTGGAAATACTCTTCGAGATCCTAGGGAATGCTCGTGATCCTCTTCTGGTCACCTGAAAAAGAATAAACACTCCAGTCGAGGGTGCCGGAATTAGCACTCCCACGGGCAAGTTAGTATTCACACTCAAGGAGGCTTGTATTCTAAGCTAAGCATAGTAATTCTCACATACCTCTTTAGGACTGAAGATCTTGTATTTATAGTATTCTCTTGGGGCCCTCGGGCCTAGTCCACTCCTAGTCCTTACCATGTACTTCTACACGGCCCTTGTTTTACTGGCAGGAATGTCGGCTCTTTTATTCGGCCCCAAAATTAGATAGGGTCAATGCCGAATAGAAGTTATGTTCTGGACCGAATTGGTCCGCTCCTGTTGATCCAAAATTATTCGGCTCCCACAATTGCCCCCCAAACACCCCACTAGCACCAGTTAGTCGGCGTGTTTGGGGTCTAGTCTGGAGGTTAGAAATCCGGCGGTTATTCCTCTTCCCGATGCATGTCAGAACGCGTACATGCTTCTTGGTCATTATAACGCTTTCCCACCCCTTCGTACGCTGCCTCCATTTAATGCGATTTGAATTTGTCTCTTCGAATGTATGCTCTGAATACTCGAAGATATCTGGCACGTCTTCCAGTGGGACTCCTGCATTCCGCGGCTTCTGCAACCCCTTGTTTCTCGATCTTTCATTTGCCTCCTGTAAGTTTTCTTCTCCTACATTTTTTTAATCCCCCCTCTTTATCTACTTTTAGTTTTCCGTAATCCTTGAGTCGGCAAGAATGGCAAAACATTTGAAGGAGCTCCTTTTTGCGGATCGAATCTCAGGCTTTCAACGCCACTTCTCCATCCCTGACGACATCCATCTGTCACTTGTGGCATACAGCACTACTAATATGGTAAGGGAAGACGAGAACACAATCGTCTTTCCTCTCCTATCAATTACTGAGGGCGGCATCCGTTTTCCTCTTCACCCACTTTTGAGGGCCGTTCTTCGATACTAGGGTCTTATTCCTTCCCAGCCCAATGTGAACTTCTTCCACATCATAATGGGCATTGTAGAGATAAATCGGCGTCTTAGAGTCAATTTAGGTATTCCCGCCATTCGGCACTGTTATGTCCTAGCCAAGTCTACTGGCCGTCTGGGACGCTACTTCTTTAGAGTCACGGACACTGACCACCACTTAGTGACCATGCTTGCTAGCTCTAGCAAGCGTGTCGATGACGTGATGGTCGTTGTCCGTGATAATTGGGAATTCGGCGAAATGGAAGATCGCCTAGATCCTGTGCCAAGGCAAAAAGGCGAACCAGGTGAATCACTGTTTCTGTTACTTACATATGCATGTATTCGGCACTTTAGCTTACTTAATCGTTTTGTCTACGCAGGCAGCGACTTGAAGAGAGTGTTGACTTCAGACGACGAAGTTGTGCTCACAGAAATTAAAACCATGCTACAGTTCGTCGGCCATCCAGACCTTCAAAAACAAGGGAGGGCAGCCCACATTCTCCTGGGGTACGAGTCAACCTACACGATGTTCTCGGCGGCAGATAATATTCCCATCGCGCGAGGCGATAACCAACTAACAGCCCTCATCTTCCCTAGCTTCAAAAACTTGAGGCAGATTGGCCTCAAATCATCTGATTCTGAGCACGTGGAAGAACAAGTTGCCGTACCAATCGCCGAGGACCCGAAGGAGTTGGCTGCAGAAGTTGACGAAGCCATTAATTCGGCCTTTGAGGAAGCCGGGTTGAACTCTCCTGATCCTCCGTCTACATCAGGCCGAGGGGACACCGAAGATATCTTTACGAACTTGGGAGATCTTCCTGGCGATTTCTCTGAGGAAATGGTCGGGGATAATCTTACCGAGATGGCACGAAAAAGGAATGTCAAACGCATGGCCGCCCAACAAAAGGCCGTAGCCATCCGTTCTGGACTTGTCTCAACTGAATCTATTGCTCTCGTTGTCGTACAAGAAACGGCTCACATTGTCGTGGCCGAGACGGAAAAGGAGGTCGAGCGCCCGAGTACGGAAGTTCGACCGATTTTAGAGCATCGAGGTGAAAAACGAGGTGCTGAGGGTGAGGATGGCTCTGAAGGGGGCCCCTTGGAAAAACAGCCACGCTTGGAGGAGTCGGCTGTGGTTGCTCTTTTTGTTATTGAGCCAAAGATAAAAAATATACCAATCTCCTTCGAAGCGTCAGCTCTGAAGGATGCAGCTGTGGCACTAAGCCTGGCTGCCTCGGTCTCCTTACCGGCTGACAAGGTGACATTCCGTGCCTAGCCGGGTTCGACGACAATAGCATTAGTCGCCCAGTCGGCTTTTCTGGTACGTGACTGAATCTTTGGTTTGATTTGCATTTGATGTTTGTTGGCATATGACGATCCTTTGTTTTGTAGATGGTTGGAAGGATCGCAGAATTGGGCCGCCGCCAGCATGACGCTGTTGAAAGGATTGACCGTTTGCAATCTGAAGTCGAGGGTCAAAGGAGCAAGGCAGAGTTCGAGGCAATGAGAACTGCAATGGAAAGCACGCGAGCCGAGGTTGAGAAGGAAAGGGCCAAAACTGCTGATCAACTCAGGGCTGACGCCGTGGAGAGGGCAAATGTGAGAGAGGAGTCGCTCAAGTTAGCCAATGAGGCGCTTGCCAAGCTGGAGGCTGAGTTTGGAGAGTTGAAGCTGGCTAAAGAGAAAGCTGACTCTGAGTCCTCGGCGGCGTTCGAGGCTGGGAGGAGCTCCACCTTTAAGGACTATGTAGAAGAAGTCTCCAAATTTGAGAATCGGGGGTTCAAACACGGCTGGCTCACAGCCCTTGCTGCCCCTGGAGTTACATTGGCCATGCCAATTCCCTACGAGCAAGTGGACGTTGAGCCGCTTGAGTCTGACCCTGAGACTTGATTTGGGAGACATTCTAGTTTTGTTAGCTTTTTTTTTTTTTTTCAATGTCTGTTTTTGTTTAGTAGATTTTCATCTGTGTGGGATTTTCATATGTAAAATGTCCACTGTTAGCGCCCAATTTATGAATGAAAATTTCATATTCTTCCTAGATATTTCTTGTATTGTTTGTTGTATGAGTACACAATTAGGAGAATCAGTGGTTAGGACAAAATTCCCAGACTACGTGAGGCGGCAGACTTACAAACCGACTAAGCTTAGCGATCTGATTAAAACAATGAATCTGCCCTTGCCCCAGCGAGTTCGCGATCGTAGAACACCGAATAACACGTCCATAAGAACCTTGTGTTGAGGCATCGATTCGGGGAATGGCTGGGGCACTTAAGCTGACTAGATTGACGTATCTACCCTTGCCCCACTGGGTTCGCGATCGTAGAATGCCGAATAACACGTCCATAGGAACCTTGTGTTGAGGCATCGATTCGGGGAACAGCTGGGGCACTTAAGCCAACTAGATTGATGAATCTGCCCTTGCCCCAGCGGGTTCACGATCGTAGAACGCCGAATAACACGTCCATAAGAACCTTGTGTTGAGGCATTGATTTGGGGAACGGCTGGGGCACTTAAGCCGACTAGATTGATGAATCTACCCTTGCCCCAGCGGGTTCGCGATCGTAGAATGCCGAATAACACGTCCATAAGGACCTTATGTTGAGGCATCGATTTGGGGAACGGCTGAAGCACTTAAGCCGACTAGATTGATGAATCTGCCCTTGCCCCAGCGGGTTCGCGATCATAGAACACCGAATAACATGTCCATAAGAACCTTGTGTTGAGGCATCGATTCGGGGGATGGTTGGGGCACTTAAGCCGACTAGATTGATGAATCTGCCCTTGCCCCAGCGGGTTCGCGATCGTAGAACGCCGAATAACACGTCCATAAGAACCTTGTGTTGAGGCATCGATTCGGGGAACGGCTGGGGCACTTAAACCGACTAGATTGATGAATCTGCCCTTGCCCCAGCGAGTTCAAGATCGTAGAACACCGAATAGATGCGATTGGGGTATATGATTCGTTCGGTCCCGGGTAGTTGGTGCTTCAACATTGAGGGGATTACCTTGGAGGTGCTGCCCCCATAGGGAATAAATGGGCGTGTACTTCGTGAACGAGGGTCCTATTTATGTACTCATTCAGCATTTCAGTCCAGCTGTTTGAGGAATATTGAACAAGCGCAAATGTCAAATAAACTTTTCTTCAACAAAGGGGCGAAGCGAAGACTCTAGCTGAGCTGGGAAGAGCTATGAGTCGAAGCGGTGAACCTTCACGCACGGGCAGTAGGACTTTGAGGGATCAGAAGAGGCGCCAATCTCCTCGTCGGTGTAGTAGGTCACCCAGGAGGGACAAACAGCCACAACATAAGTCTCCTCAGCTTGGTTCCGGTAGGCAACCTGATGCGACTCCTTGCCCATTGAGTTTTGCAGTCTTCATGGGTAATAGACCAATGACAGAGGCAGACTCGATCGTTCGAGATCCGAATGTTGCAGTCGAGTTTGCTCGACAGATTTTCCCGCTCGAAGTTCAGCAGTCGATGGTAGGTCGATAGGATTTCGAAGTGTTTCGTGAGGGCATTCACGGGGCGGTGAGGGGACTGTACAAGGCTTATGAGATGGCATGCGTCTCCGCGCCGCTCGCCACGACATAGAACAGAGAGATGAACGCATTCGGAAGTTAGAAGCTCGCGCCGAGAAGGTCGAGGGCGAGCTAAGGAAAATCAAGTCTGGCGGGCTCCAATCAACCACCCACCCCAATCCGGTTGTCGAAGAGAGGGTTACTCAGAGGTTGATTAGTGATGTGATCGCCAATCGTAATACGGCTAGCATGTTAGCGATCGAGACTGCGAGGGGTACGACCTATGAAAAAGGCTTATATGACGGCCGAAAGGTCAGAATTCAAAAGACCAAGGAGAAACTCGCCGAAGAAGTTTGCTGATGTGAAAATTGTGGATTTAGGCACGGTTAGATGAAGGCGCTTCGGCAAGCTGCGAGTCTCCAATCGGAAGGGTTGGATTCGGCGTTTCCGTTGTATCAACAAAATGATTTTCCCTTCTCCGCATTCGAAATTGAGAAAAGCGATGACGAAGAAGCCGCCGAACCCAAGAAATCCTTGTAATGCTTACGTAGATTGAAAGTGAAATTATGTATTTATTCGTCGAATTTAATAAAATGCTTAGTTCTCAATCTGTAGCATACTTGTTATTTATATTAGTACTCATTTTATTCCAACTTTGCTTTGTTGAAAATTTTATTCGGCACACGCGTATTTTCTGCGGAGGCCATTTCGGCCTGAAGACGTCATGCGCCGATGGGGCTCCGAATCTGAAGGCTTTTTCGGCCTAAAGACATCATGCGCCGATGGGGCTCTGACCCCGAAGACAGTTGGCCCATCTATAATTTCTGTTTATATAATTACGCCATTTTAATAAGGCAGAAATTAGTGCATGAAGTGGCTGTGGCACGTATTGATTGGCATGGGGCCAAGATGCTCGGCCTGTTAGATTCATAAATCTGCCCTTGCCTCAGCCAGTACATGGACTTCAAGGCATTTGCCCATAATTGTCGTTTATATAATTTAGGCCGTTTTAACAAGGCAGAAATTAGTGTATGGAGTGGCTGTGG